GCGTCCCCTTGGCACGTCCCGCGGTGCGACCCCATGGCACGTCCCTTGGCACGTCGCTTGGCGCATCCCTTGGGACGTTCCGCGTCGCGTCCTCCTGGCATGGTCCCCTGTCCATTAGCTCTGGGGCAGCTACTATGTGTTCAGGCAGCTCGAGCTTAAGATCCAGATCAGTTCGGTCAGGACTCGGATGCAAAGGAGGACTCGATCCACGAGGCTATAAAGCACAATCGCGCCATGGCACATCGCAATTCAGCACGGCACAGCACAGCACAGCCCTCGGCACGGTACATCAAGATCGATACACTCAGCATTGCAATTTGGCACGTTCCTTGGCACGTTCCGTGGGGCGTCCCTTGGCGAGTCCCCCTGGCACGTCGCGTGGCGCGTCCCCTGGCACATCCCGTGGCACATCCATTGGCACGTTCCGTAGCGCGTCCCCTTGGCACGTCCCGCGGTGCGACCCCATGGCACGTCCCCTGGCACGTCGCCTGGCGCATCCCTTGGGACGTTTCGCGGCGCGTCCTCCTGGCATGTTCCCCTGTCCATTAGCTCTGGGGCAGCTACTATGTGTTCAGGCAGCTCGAGCTTAAGATCCAGATCTGTTCGGTCAGGACTCGGATGCAAAGGAGGACTCGATCCACGAGGCTATAGAGCACAATCGCGCCATGGCACATCGCAATTCAGCACGGCGCAGCACAGCACAGCCCTCGGCACGGTACAGCAAGATCGATACACTCAGCATTGCAATTTGGCACGTTCCTTGGCAGTTCCGTGGGGCGTCCCTTGGCGAGTCCCCCTGGCACGTCGCGTGGCGCGTCCCCTGGCACATCCCGTGGCACATCCATTGGCACGTTCCGTAGCGCGTCCCCTTGGCACGTCCCGCGGTGCGACCCCATGGCACGTCCCCTGGCACGTCGCCTGGCGCATCCCTTGGGACGTTTCGCGGCGCGTCCTCCTGGCATGTTCCCCTGTCCATTAGCTCTGGGGCAGCTACTATGTGTTCAGGCAGCTCGAGCTTAAGATCCAGATCAGTTCGGTCAGGACTCGGATGCAAAGGAGGACTCGATCCACGAGGCTATAGAGCACAATCGCGCCATGGCACATCGCAATTCAGCACGGCGCAGCACAGCACAGCCCTCGGCACGGTACATCAAGATCGATACACTCAGCATTGCATTTGCCCGTCACCCAATCAGGTGTCTTTGAAAACGCTGCCATGTGTTACAGTTCTATATTCCTTTCCGGGTTCGTGGGTCGATCATGTTTCAACCTCAGCAAGTCAGACAATACGATTTTTCCGTGGTTAATTAGCTTGACGAAGGACCCAACCATGTGCAGGTGTGAATACCGCAGTTGACACTACCAATTTCGGTGGGGCTCCCTATAGGGCCAAGAAACGTGTGAAGGGGATGGGTGTGCGGGACGCATGCGGGCGGCAGCACTGGGGCCTTCGGTGGAGCTCCCTATGGGGCCACGAAACGTGTGAGGGGTGTGCCGAATGACGCAGGAGCTCCCTAACGAAACGAAATGGGTGTGGTGACGCATGCGGGCGCGGGCACTGGGGCCTTCGGTGGAGCTCCCTATGGGGCCACGAAACGTGTGAGGGGTGTGCCGAAATGGGTGTGGCTGACGCATGCGGGCGGGCACTGGGGCCTTCGGTGGAGCTCCCTATGGGGCCACGAAACGTGTGAGGGGTGTGCCGAAATGGGTGTGGCTGACGCATGCGGGCGCGGGCACTGGGGCCTTCGGTGGAGCTCCCTATGGAGCCACGAAGCGTGTGAGGGGTGTGCCGAAATGGGTGTGGCTGACGCATGCGGGCGCGGGCACTGGGGCCTTCGGTGGAGTGGGGCCACCTGGCCGAATGGCAGCTCCCTATGAGGGGTGTGCCGAAATGGGTGTGGCTGACGCATGCGGGCGCGGGCACTGGGGCCTTCGGTGGAGCTCCCTATGGAGCCACGAACGTGTGAGGGGTGTGCCGAAATGGGTGTGGTTGACGCATGCGGGCGCGGGCACTGGAGCCTTCGGAGGAGCTCCCCATGGGGCCACGAAACGTTTGAGGGGTGTGCCGAAATGTGTGTGGCTGACGCATGCGGGCGGGCACTGGGGCCTTCGGTGGAGCTCCGTATGGAGCCACGAAACGTGTGAGGGAGTTGCCGAAATGGGTGTGGCTGACGCATGCGGGCGCGGGCACTGGGGCCTTCGGTGGAGCTCCCTATGGGGCCACGAAACGTGTGAGGGGTGTGCCGAAATGGGTGTGGCTGCGCATGCGGGCGCGGGCACTGGGGCCTTCGGTGGAGCTCCCTATGGAGCCACGAAACGTGTGAGGGGTGTGCCGAAATGGGTGTGGCTGACGCATGCGGGCGCGGGCACTGGGGCCTTCGGTGGAGCTCCCTATGGAGCCACGAAACGTGTGAGGGGTGTGCCGAAATGGGTGTGGCTGACGCATGCGGGCGCGGGCACTGGGGCCTTCGGTGGAGCTCCCTATGGAGCCACGAAACGTGTGAGGGGTGTGCCGAAATGGGTGTGGGTGACGCATGCGGGCGCGGGCACTGGGGCCTTCGGTGGAGCTCCCTATGGAGCCACGAAACGTGTGAGGGGTGTGCCGAAATGGGTGTGGGTGACGCATGCGGGCGCGGGCACTGGGGCCTTCGGTGGAGCTCCCTATGGAGCCACGAAACGTGTGAGGGGTGTGCCGAAATGGGTGTGGGTGACGCATGCGGCGCGGGCACTGGGGCCTTCGGTGGAGCTCCCTATGGAGCCACGAAACGTGTGAGGGGTGTGCCGAAATGGGTGTGGGTGACGCATGCGGGCGCGGGCACTGGGGCCTTCGGTGGAGCTCCCTATGGAGCCACGAAACGTGTGAGGGGTGTGCCGAAATGGGTGTGGGTGACGCATGCGGGCGCGGGCACTGGGGCCTTCGGTGGAGCTCCCTATGGAGCCACGAAACGTGTGAGGGGTGTGCCGAAATGGGTGTGGCTGACGCATGCGGGCGCGGGCACTGGGGCCTTCGGTGGAGCTCCCTATGGAGCCACGAAAAGGGGTGTGCCGTGTGAGGGGTGTGCCGAAATGGGTGTGGGTGACGCATGCGGGCGCGGGCACCTGCCTTCGGTGGAGCTCCCTATGGAGCCACGAAACGTGTGAGGGGTGTGCCGAAATGGGTGTGGCTGACGCATGCGGGCGCGGGCACTGGGGCCTTCGGTGGAGCTCCCTATGGAGCCACGAAGCGTGTGAGGGGTGTGCCGAAATGGGCGTGGCTGACGCATGCGGGCGCGGGCACGAGGGAGGAGGGGGAAGAGGAGGAGAGGAGAGGAGAGGAGAGGAGAGGAACGCGGGGCACCGTCTCTTCAAAACGAGGACCCAACACCACAGGATGGTTGGGAAAAAATGCTCGTTTTGGGCCGCCCTCGCGCGGTCCATCAAGAAGGAACAGCAAGCAGCAAGAAGCCAACAACGAACAGTAAACAGCAAGAAGCAGAACTGTAACAGTGGAAGCTGCAACTGGCACAGGAAACTGCGAACCTCCGGCCTGCAGCCTGGTGGCCCCACAAGGGGGCCGGCGGATTATTACTCCACCCTCCCCTTTTTCTCTAACAGATCATCTTTCTCCCTCCTTCCCTGGCGAAGGCGGAGGAGGCAGGGGGGGTCCTGGACATTGAGGAGGAGGAGGAGGAGGAGGAGGAGGAGGAGGAGGAGGAGGAGGAGGAGGAGGAGGAGGAGGAGGAGGAGGAGGAGGAGGAGGAGGAGGAAAACATTTTTTTGGGTCAGCGGGCGCAGGCAGGGTCTGGACTGGCTGTGCAAGAGCGAACTCCAAAGCCGCGAATTCGGCCCCATGCAAGAGAGAGGCGAACCGAAGGAGGAAGTAACCGCAGAGGCGGGGGGGAGGAAGGCAAAGGTGTCTGTGGGGCCATGAAGCGTGTGAGAGGTGTGCCAGAATGGGTGCGGCTGCCGCATGCGAGCGCTGGCATTTGGGCATTCGGTTGGGGCTCCCTATGGAGCCACGAAGCGTGTGAGGGGTGTGCCAAAATAGGTGCGGTGGCCGCGCGCGAACGCTGGCATTTGGGCCTTCGGTGGGGCTCATTGTGGGGCCACGAAACGTGTGAAGGGTGTGCCAACACGGGTGCGGTGGCCGCATGCGAACGCTCGCATTTGGGCCTTCGGTGGGGCTCCCTATGGAGCCACGAAGCGTGTGAAGGTTGTGCCAAAATGGGTGCGGTGGCCGCACGCGAACGCTGGCATTTGGGCCTTCGGTGGGGCTCCCTATGGGGCCACGGAACGTGTGATGGGGTGCCAACGCTGGCATTTGGGCCTTCGGTGGGGCTCCCTATGGAGCCACGAAGTGTGTGAGGGGTGTGCTGAAATGCGTGCTGCGGCCGCATGCGAACGCTGGCATTTGGGCCTTCAGTGGGGCTCTCTGTGGGGCCACGAAGCGTGTGAGGGGTGTGCTGAAATGCGTGCTGCGGCCGCATGCGAACGCTGGCATTTGGGCCTTCAGTGGGGCTCTCTGTGGGGCCACGAAAAGTGTGAGGGGTGTGCCAAAATGAGTGCGGTGGCCGCATGCGAACGCTGGCATTTGGGCCTTCGGTTGGGTTCCGTATGGAGCCACGAAGCGTGTGAAGGGTGTGCCAACATGGGTGCTGTGGCCGCAGGCGAACGCTGGCATGTGGGCGCTCTGTGGGGCTCCTTACGGGGCCACGAAACGTGTGAGCGGTGTGCCAACATGGGTCCGGTGGCCGTATGCGAACGCTGGCATTTGGACCTTCGGTGTGGTTCCCTATGGGGCCACGAACCGTGTGAGGGGTGTGCCAGCAGAGTTGGCTGGTTCGAAGGGCAGAGGCAGGGATCGGAGGAGGAAGGGGAGCGAGGAGGAGAGGAGGAGAGGAGACGCGGGGCGCTGTCTCTTCAAACGAGGACCCAACACCACAGGATGGTTGGGACAAATTCAACGCCCGGATCTAAGGGGAGGGGAAAGTGGAGGAAGCGAAGGAGGTCCCCCCCGGCAGGTTCCGGATTCCGATCGACGACGTCCTGCAGGCGGCCGGGGTGGCCAAGAGGGGGGTGATGGCTGCGGGGTGCTTGTGGGCCATGAGATCGCCACGGATTTCATGGCCCCCTCTTCTTATTTCAATGCGTCCCCTGGGCTCCCACGAGTCCGCGCACGTGCTTAGGGTCATGATTTGCGACCCCCTTCCCTTCTTGGTCGGGTGACGATGGCGTGTATGTATATGTATGTATGTATATATATATATATATATATATATTCCTCTTCCAATATTTTTATAAGCCTGGGCGGGGGGAAAACCCCTCCCCCCTCCCGGGGTCTGGGGGCTTTGGGACCCTCCGGACGGGCCTCGAAACGGCCCCTGGCAACCCTTCAGACGACCCGGGAGAACCTCACGAGAGTCCGAAGACGGCACTAGACGGGTTCCAGGCGTTCTGGCGCGCTCCCCCCCCAAGAAGCCGTCATACCCCCAAAGATCGTCCTGAAACGTCCCAAGAGGCTTCCAATACCACTCCCAAGAAGGCCCCAAGAGGCAGAAATCATGGATTTTCCCAACCATCCTGTGGTGTTGGGTCCTCGTTTTGAAGAGACGGTGCCCCACGTCTCTCCTCCCTCCTCCCTCCTCCCTCCTCCCCCTCCTCCCCCTCCTCCCCCTCCTCCCTCCTCCCCCTCCTTGCCTTTGCTTTCGGCGCACCCCTCACACGGTTCGTAGCCCCATAGAGAGCTCCACCGAAGGTCCCAGTGGCACAGCCCCCATGCGTCCGCCACACCCAGCACGGCGTTTCGTGGCCCCATAGGGAGCTCCACCGAAGGTCCCAGTGGGGGGGGGCGCATGCGTCCGCCACACCCAGCACAGCGTTTCGTGGCCCCATAGGGAACTCCACCGGAAGGTCCCAGTGGGGGGGGTGGGCGCATGCGTCCACCACACCCAGCACAGCGTTTCGTGGCCTCATAGGGAGCTCCACCTAAGGTCCCAGTGTGGGGGGGGGGCGCATGCGTCCGCCACACCCAGCACGGCGTTTCGTGGCCCCATAGGGAGCTCCAACGAAGGTCCCAGTGGGGGGGGCGCATGCGTCCGCCACACCCAGCACAGCGTTTCGTGGCCCCATAGGGAGCTCCACCGAAGGCCCCAGTGGGGGGGGCGCATGCGTCCGCCACACCCAGCACAGCGTTTCGTGGCCCCACAGGGAGTTCCACCGAAGGTCCCAGTGGGGGGGGCGCATGCGTCCGCCACACCCAGCACGGCGTTTCGTGGCCCCATAGGGAGCTCCACCGAAGGCGCCAGTGGGGTGGGGGGCGCATGCGTCCGCCACACCCAGCACGGCGTTTCGTGGCCCCATAGGGAGCTCCACCTAAGGCCCCAGTGGGGGGGGGGGCGCATGCGTCCGCCACACCCAGCACAGCGTTTCGTGGCCCCATAGGGAGCTCCACCGAATGCGTTGCTCACAAAGACGGTATTCACAACTGCATATGGTTGGGTCCTTCGCCCGGCTAATTCTCTGGGTTTTTGGTGAATTTTGGTGTTCTCCTCTTGTCGGCTTCCCGACGCTCCAAGACGGCGGTCTTCTGGGAGTCCGAAGCCGCCTGGGAGGTTCCCAAATCGCCCCACAACCACCCGAAAGGCATTCCAGGCAGAAGAGAGCCCCGAAACGGCACAACAGGGGTCCAAGATGGCCTTCAGAGAGCCCCATGGCGGCCCAAAATGGCCCCAAGACGCCTTCCGAAGCATTCCAAATCGTGACCGGGTCGTTCAGGGAAACCGCGGTTGGAGGCAGGGTGGCCCGAGGAAGCCCCCAGAGGCCCCCAGAGGCTCTCCAAGGAGGAGCTTCCGCAGAAAGAGCTGAGGAGGATAGGGGAAAAATGCGCAGGGTATGGCGAAAATGAAGAAAAAGAAGCGTGGAGGAAGGATAACGAATAACATTAGTATAGCGGCGATGCCAGAAAAAGGCGACAAGGAGTTATCGCTAAATTGTCGGCTTGACCTTCCTGCTATACCGCCTGCATGCCAAACTTCAAGGGCCAAGGTGCATGGCGCGAAGCGCCACTGCAGTCTTGTGTGTATATATATATATGTACAAGACTGCAGTGGTGCTTCGCGCCATGCACCTTAGTCCTTCGAGTTTCGCACGCGGGCGGCGTGCGTGCGCGTGCTCATGCGCGCGCGGAAATGTGCATACATGTCATACGCGCGCACGTGCATGTACGCCATACAGATACATGTGGACATCTAGGTGTGTAGATCTGCATACAGATATACGTGTGTGTGGGGGGTATATCGGTGTAGGTACATTAGTATGCATGTACTATTAGTGTGACTATTCTTTATTATGCAGACTTTACTCACCATTGTTATTGTTATGGAAGTATTCGTATTAGTTGTATTATCCTTAATGCTGCTATTATCACTATCACCATCATTAATGCACGTATATGTATATAAACATATCGATATGTGCACACGTAGAATGAATATTGCGCATTCGTGTATATATATATATATATATATGTATACATCCTTTCTGTGTGTGGCAGATCTACGTGTGTTACGTGTGCACTTTCGCATGTCTATATACACGTACGCGGCCGTGGCCACAGAGAGTGGCCAGAAACGCAGTGAAGGACCCGCGAATGCCGAAAGACCTGGGTAGGAGACGGCATGGAGGACACGGCAGAATGAGGAACGGCGACCTGGGCTTACCAATGACCGTGTCTTTGGGACTATGGAAGGAGCCGTGTGAGGGCCTTGGGGGGCCTCGGGACCTTGTCGCAGCGGGGCTCGATTATCTCGACGCTGAAGCTGTTTTGCGCCGCCCTTCTCTCTTGGAGGGCCTCGCATTCAGAGTGTTAACGTCACGTGGACCTGATTGGAGCCTTCCAGGGCCTTCTGAGGGCCTCTGTGGGACGTGGTGCAGTCCCGTTACGTCTTGGGCCCGTCTTCGGGCGCGTAATGGCTCTGTTGGGCTGTCTTGGGATCATGCTCGGGCTCCTGGCCCGTTTTGGGCCTGTTTGGGGGGCTTCTTCTGGCGTTTTCGAACTTCTGTGGGCTTCCCGGGGGCCTCTTGGGGGCCTCTTGGGGCCTCTTCGGGGCCTCTTGGGAACCTCCTGGGGCCTCCTGGGGCCCTGTCGGGACTGTCTGGGGGCCCTGTCGGGACTGTCTCGGGGCCCTCTTGGGCTGGTTTGGGGCCCTCTTAGAGGTCTGTCGGGCCGTCTTAGGACGATCTTGGGGGTCTCGTGGACCGTCTTGGAGCGTCGGGAAGCTGAAAAGGGGAGAACTCACAATTTTCCGACAAACCATCAGAAAATCAATGAACTTTGCCTCGTGGGGCCCTCTGGGGAGTGCTCTTGAAGGCCTCTTGGGATGTTTCGTGCTCCTTCCGGGATCTTTTGGGACTCTAGAGAACCTCTTGTGGCTTCCTGGGGGCCTCTTGGGGGACTCTTGGGGCCTCTTCGGGGCCTCGTGGGAGCCGTCCGGCCTCTTGAGGCCCTGTCGGGACTGTCTCGGGGCCCTCTTGGGCCAGTTTGGGGCCCTCTTGGAGGTCAGTCGGGCCGTCTCAGGGCGATCTTGGGGGCCTCCTGGGCCGTCTTGGAGCGTCGTCGGGAAGCTGAAAAGGGGAGAACTCCCAACTCCCCCACACAGCACCGGAAAATCAATAAATTTTGCCTTTTGGGGCCCTCTTGGGAATGCTCTTGGAGGCCTCTTGGGAAGTTTTGGGGCGATCTTTGGGGGTATGACGGCTCCTTTGGGGTCGTCGTCGACCGCCTTGCAGCTCTTTGGGGTCGTTTCGGGAGCGCGCTGGAACGTCGGGGGCTCTCTGGGGCCGTCTTCGGGCTCTCGTGAGGTCCTCCCAGGTCGTCTGGGGGGGCTGCCCGACAGGCCCAGGGTGCAATGGTCCCGCTTCGAACCACTGCCCTGATCGCAATCCTTGATGATGCTACTCTCTTCTCTGCTCTGACACGTGCCGAGGGTACCGTTGGCGGTCGGGTCGAATCTGAGGGCAGTGACTGTGCGATGCTGATCGCACTGTGGTGATGAACAGGATCTGTTTGTCAGCGGGCAGTTCGCTGTCCTGCGTCTCTCGGACGCACACCAGAAGTCCAGCGTCGCTGAGACGCTGCAAAGGCTTGAGCCAGAACGGTTTCGGATGAACCTGTTCTGGGATATTATAATGGGGATCTCGAAGGATCTCGGAGGGCCTACTAAGCAAGGCTGGCTGCAGTCTGGAGGCTAAAGGGGGCCCGATTCGCCGGGAAACGCTTGGCTAACATACATGGGGCTCCTTTGGAGCCTGAAGCTTATATCACGCACGGCCTCTAGAGGCCATCTGTCGTAAGTAGGCTCTAGTGAGGCAGGCTCGGGGCTGTGAATTGCATGCCCAAAAGCTAAAGATCGATGTTACGGCATCGAGACCTGCCTCTGGCAACTGAATTCACAGAAAGCACAGAGCGCGTGAGAGGCTTCACAGTGCCCCAAAGGGCTATATCTCCGGCAGGGGTCTCCTGCTCGTAGGGATTGTCGCGAGCGAAGTAGATCAGGGCCTCCAGCATAGCTTCATCGTCATCTGCTGACAACGGCTTGCCGTGGTCCAGCCTGTCCATGCCCTCGGTCTTGCGCTTCCTAGCACTGCGGTGCAGGGGGTCGTCCACGAGTCTCCAGCGCTGACCTGACCGGAAGAACTCCAGCAAGACCTTGGCGGCTCGATCCTTGGTGAGGCCGTCGGCTAGCATGGCATCGCTGTGGACCCAGCGTATCTGGAGGGCCGTCTGCTCCTTCTGCTGTCGAATGCCTAGACACTCGATGCTCGTCCGCTTATCACGTAGGCCGAGACCAGCTGACTCGCTCTTCTCGATCGCGTCGTAGCCCGACTTACCGTCTGTGACCAGTACGCCAGGGCAGGATGAGATGGCGTCGTTCACGTGTTGCTTGTTGGTGTAGTCCACTTGGCCGCACTCCAGCTCGTAGATGAACAGGCGCACGTAGCTGATCTCGTCGAGGGTCTCTGTCATCATCTGAACCTCCGCACTCGTACTGCTTCTGGCCACTCGCGGTAGTTTGCATGATCTCCATGAGATAGGCGCTACCGTCTCTGTCGAGCCACTCAGGAAAGACAGTGGTGCCAGCACGATCATCTCGCCACCCTGGGACTCGCCAGTGATACGAGCGGCCCAGGCAGCATCGCCCCAGCCAACCACAGCGATCTGCTCGATGGCCGGGATGAGCATGACCACGTCGGCAGTGTCATTCATGGTGCGGATCAGCTTGTTGATCTTCTGGATGGTAGAGACCGTCGCCGTAGGTATCTCCGCTTGGAGTAGAGAGACTTCTGCACTGAGCCACGGGGCCGACTGCTGAGCTCGCCATCCGACTGTACCAAGTCGGCCTCGTAGATCTGATCTCTCTTTGTCTGAAACTCCTTCCGTGGGCTTGCGTCCACGTCGTATCTTGATGGGCTCCACGTTCAGGCTGTAGCTGTCCTGTGCGAGACTGCAGGTGTAGTCCTCATTCTGTCGAATACTGATGCCGCACTGCACAAACGCTCGGCTCTCCCAAGGTGTCCACTCGAAGGCCTGTTGTATCTTCTGTCGTTTCTTGAGGAAGGCCGAGTTGTGATGGTCGCCGGCGATCATCATGTCGTCGACGTGTAGGATAACCATGCCGACCAGCTTCGTGCCGTCTCGAATGACCCAGACGCACGGCTCGCACTGTATCACCTCCAGCTGCAGCGTCTTGAGCGTGTCCTTGAAATGGAGCCACCATTTGCGAGGAGCATGTACAAATCCGTACATAGGCTTGAGGAACTGCAGGACCTCGTCGTCTTTCATGCCGAAGGCCTGACGCACGTCCTTGGGCGGGTCCGCGTAGATCTTCCTCTTCTCCTCGTCCGTCTCGCCCTGGAGAAAGGCTGTCACTGCATCGGCCTTCTCCAGTTTCCACTTGTGTCTGGCTGCCATGGCCAGTAGAAGTTGACGTGCACGTCTGGAGGCAACTGGTGATTCTGTCCGTAGGTGCAGCAGGTCGGGGTCGCTGAAACCGAGCACGACCAGTCTGGCTTTGCCTCGTAGCACGTTCCCCTGGTCATCCTTCTTCCAGGTCAGCACGAAGCGACAGCGCAGCAGGCGCGCCGGGTCGATCCCCTGTCGGCTGAGGATCCTGACGGCCTTTGTGCTGAGGACTGAGGTGCACTCCTTCTGCTGGGCCTCGAGTAGCAGCTTCTTCTCCTCAGGCGTCGCCTTCTTAAATGAGACCTCCACTCGGCCCTTGCGGGCCTGCGATGCCACGAAGTTGCTGGGGTCGTCCATGTAGGCCATGAACGTATGCTCGTTGCTGACAGGGATGTCCAGCACGATGAGTTCGTCGTTCTCCTTCATATCGTCGTACTGCTGGACACTGTAGGCATAGTCGCTGTAGAAGTTACCCTCCTGCAGGTAGTAGGAGAAGGCCTCCTGGGTCGCAGCGTTGACCCGCTGCTTCTTAGCCGGGGGCTCGGTTGTGCCGGGCTCTCGGATCCGGCGCTTATCGTTCACGTCGGGCGCTGAGATATCGTCGAGGTCATCGTCAGTCTCCGCCACGATGGGCCGCTGCGACGCGCGCTCCTCCTGGTCGTCGCCGGGAGGGGCTTCCATGACGATCTCCTCCTCGATGGGCTGCTCAGCTGCTTCGGGTAGTCCAGCTTCGTGGCCGTCTTCCTGTGGAATGCCTGGTGGAGCTTCTGGCTGAGCTGGCTGGATGAGAGGTTCCTGGACCTCGGTCGCCTCGTTCCAGGGATTACCCTTCTTCCTCATACGTCTGGGAGGTCGCGGTCCAGGTAGAGGTCGCTCTTCCAGTCCTGGTGGCGCCGCCAAGGCTCCACCACCTCCGCCGCCTCCGCCGCCTCCTGGGTCAAGACTACGAGGATCTCCTTGTGGAACAGGACGATCATCGTCCTCAGAAATGGCCCAGGGTCCGCTCGCGTTGCTCTCGAAGGTGCGGGCGCTGACCGATTCACCGTCATCAGCGGCCAAATCCTCGCCAGTGGGCGGGGACTCGTTCGACAAGTCGATCACTTCGTTAGTGTCGAGCTGCTTCTGGACATCGCCGAAGGTCCAGGTCCCCGGCTGCTCGCGGCGCGAGCGTAGGGAGTCCATCGCCTCCTCAGAAGGCGTGGCAGGTCGAAGTTGTTCGGGAGCAACTCGGTAGAGGCGGCCAGCCAGTGTGATATTGACCACCGTCCCAGGTAGACCAGGTCGGTGTCCCGAGCTCGCTGGCTCGTGACAAAGTACTCGTCCAGGTCCGTACCAGCGTCCTCGCCCAGGCATTGAGCGAGGCTGTCCCTTCTTGCGCCAGGCCCCTGGTGGGAGCCGTCTGTAGACGAAAACCAGATCGCCCGTCTCGTACTTCTTGAAGGACCTGAAGCGCGCGGCCTCCGCTCGCTTAACTCGGTCAGAGTTCTCGGTCTGGATGTGAGCCAGCCGCGCCATTCGTCGTACCTGGGCGTCCCTGCTGAAGGTACCGTCCTGCAGCTCGGCACTAATGAGCGGCAGGTTGTTCGGCTCGTCCGACAGATTGACTGTCGTCCCAGTCGGCGTCCGTCCCGCATAGCGCTGCAGCGGGCTGAACCCGTCGATCCTGATCAGGTCGTTCCTGGCCGCCGTCTGGAGTCCGAGCATCTCGCTGGTGGGTACTTCGGCTGAGACCATCTCGTCGAAAGCGTCGAGGGCCTCCTTGAAGGCTTCAATGGCGCGCTCGATCTTGCCGATCTGCCAGTGGGCGTCGGCCGCGCATGGGAGACAGTAGACTCCCTGGCTCTCGATCCACTCGCGGAACTCGTCGGAGATGGCGCTGCCGGCAGGGTCGTAGCGCATGACCTTCGGGCGTCCCATCCAGGGGAACCATTTTGTAGCAAAGATATGCCGAAGGTCGCCGGCACGAACTTGTCGAGTCGTACCCGGGATCGGCTTCTCGTCGATCAGCCGCACGTAGAGGATGTCCGAGCCGGCGTCGAGTATCGCCAGCGCCATCACGTTCGTGTTCGTGCTGCGACGGATCCACGAGAAAGCGTCAAAAAGCACCTCGTGACCGTTTTGGGGCTGCTCTGCTGATGAGGCTGGTGGCCGCTTAGTAGGTGGTCGATGTGCGTCACAGATGTCGCACTTGAAGGTTCTGGCTAGACGTAGCACCTCTGGTCGAGCGCCACGGTCGCGAAGGTATCGCAGTAGATGAGCTCGAGGTAGGTGTCCGAGGTTGGTATGAACCAATCTGATGTAGCTCTCGAGCTTCTTGACCGTCTCGTTGGTGAGGTTGTGCGCTTCCTTGCCGTCTCGTGGTGGAAGAGTCGGCTCGTCCTCCTCTGGCGTAGGCTCTGTCGGTGGCTGCTGGGTAGCTGCCATGCAGAGGCAGTTCACAACCTCGTCCTCGAAGTAGTTCTGGTTCTGGCTCTTGGTCAGGGCCCTGAGGATCCGGCGGCACAGCATCTTGGGGTAGGAGCCCGAGGCCTCGGTCCTCAAGCTGCTCTCTATCTCCTCGTGGTAGTGTCCTCCACGGCACTGTAGAGGTTGTAGGGCTACCCAGATCCTCCTGTCATTCGTCAGGAACTTCCAGCGCTTCTTCATGAGCTCGCCCGTGTCAGGGGCTCGTAGTCCGCAGGCGCAGCCATCCACGATCACCTCGTACGGTAGTATCTTGTGGAGATCCTTCCAGCAGGTCTTCTGCCACGACCGACTGTTGTGGGGCTGCTCGGCGAGGGCCGAGCCGTTCAGGTTGAGCACCTGGTGCTCGATGAGCCTCTTGTTGTTCTCGAAGATCCGCTGGCTCTTGAGCCGCTTCCTGCGAAGGTTCTCCTTCTGTTGATCGTTGCGCTGGTTGACGTTCTGCATTATCGACCATGGACCGCAGGGTGGTGTACTGACGAAGAGCTCCGGGCGCTTCTCGTCTAGCAGGAACTTCGCCTTGTGGTAGCCCTGCGGCTTGCTGAGGTCGTTCTCGTTGAAGAGGCCGAGCCGCTCGTAGTGGTAGCCCTTCTCGTCGCACACCTTCCCGAGATTCGAGTCCTCGTGGGTGCACGCTTCGACCATCGTCAGGCGGCCGAAGGTTGCGAGGGCGCACATAGCTCCGAAAATGGCCGACCTCGTCGTATGTGTAGCTGCCCGTATCGCCTGGCGCTGGTGGCCCTTCAGCGGCCTGCTCTCGTCGCCGCGCCACCGAGACCTCTCAGCCTGAATCTCACTCAGGCCTTCGTCCTGACCGCACACGCCTGGTGGCACCAACCGTAGAGCCTCATCTTCACGATCGGCTCGTTCTTGGCGATGCATCGGCGTAGCTTGCAGTCCGGGTGCTGGCACATCTGAGTGTAGTGAGCTGAGATCGCCGGGCCCACGGGCATTGCCGTCGTCTCCATCTTCTTGGTCTCCGTCTCCTTCTTGATCTGGATAGTCGCTGCCGCCGTGCCGCGCTGCTCGATGATGTACGCGATGATCTTGTCGATCACCTCCTCCTTCTTGCCAGTCTGGGTCAGTCCCCACATCTTGCACAGCGGCTTGAGGTGGTTGACCAACGTGACCATGCTGAGCTGCTCGTGGATCTGCTCCGAGCTCAGCGCTGCAAACGCATCCACCTCCGCAAACTTGGTCAAGAAATCTAACTTTGCGGTCTCGATGGTGGCTCGCAGCTCTTGATTCTGCTCGCGCGCGGCTGCTGAGGCTGCTGACTTCTGGGACAGGGGGCGCTGCTTCGGCTCCGTGCACGGCTGGCGCGGCTCGATCTTCGCACGATGCTCGATGTCCGCCGGCCAGGTCGGGTACCTCTCGGGTAGCAACTGCACAGGTAGTCCGAGGCTGTCCAGCTTCCAGTTCACACGGTCGATCGTCTTGATGAAGACCTTCTGGATGATTCGTCCCCAGCGACGGCACTGCGTCCACTGCTGGAGGAGCTTGCTGGACCACATCTCCCAGTTCGGTAGGTGCTCCTGCAGGAAGGTATCCGTCATCCGCTTCATGCTGTTGTCCTGCTCCGAGCCCTCGATCGTGTAGAAGATGTGGCCCCTCACGTCCTGATGAGCGATCAGTCGCCCCCGCGGCTGCATCCGTTGTAGTGTAGGCCGTGCCGGCGTCGACGTGGAGGTCGCCGCCGATGATCCCGAGTCCGGTAGCGGGGCCCGAACATCCACCTGCTCCCATGGGCCATCCATCTCCTCGTTCTCCAGCTTGATCTGCTGGCTCTCTGCTTTGCGACATTTCGCCTCGCGGTTGAGGCTCATGCGAATATGTAGGGCCAACTGGATGTTGTCGGAGCTCAGGGCTCGAATATGGAAGGATTACTGGTTGCTGAAATCGGAGCTCTGAGCTCGAATCGTTCGCACCAAAAATGGCTCTTGGAGACGGGGATGTTTCTGTTTGGAGCTCTGGAAACTCTGGGATCTCAGGGAAGGCCTCTGGAGATAACTCCGATAATGCCGTAGGTGATGGAGCCGGGGCTGATACGGATGATGTCCCTGACGTAAGTGATGATGTCCCCGACGTAAGTGATGATGTCCCCGACGTAAGGGATGATGTCCCCGACGTAATTAATGATGTCCCCGTACTTGTAAATGATGATGATGTTGCTGTAGGCGTAATTGGTGATGGTGCCCCCGTACTCGTAAATGATGATGATGTACCTGAGGCCTGTAGGGCTCCATTATCTGGGACCTCGTCGGGGAACTCCTGGGGCACCACTGCAGACGGTTTATCGTTCTCGCTTTTGATCGGCTGCTCTTTTTCATGTTTTCCCTCCGGCACCGTAGCAGTCTCGGGTGTCGAGGGCGTGGACCCCTACTCGAGAGATGCCACGAAGCCAAAATCGGCTTGTCGAACAAGTGGCAGTGCAAGATGACCGCTCGGAAGGACGAGCAGTTCAGCTCGGCGCCCGAGCTTCTTGAAGTAGACAGAATGCGCCTCGCAGTCGATCACAGCTCCTAGGCGGCTCAAAACATCCACTCCGATCAAGAGCGGGGCATCTGCGTCGAGGATGTTTATCTCGAGCTCGCCATCCACACCGGCGATCATCAGAGGAAAGGTTGCCTTGCCGGTGCAGGTCTTGGCGTTGCCATCTCCAAAGATAAAGGTACTCTTCTGGCTAACGTCCATCTTGATGTTTTTGCCCGTCTGCTCATAGATGATATCGCGTAGGTTCTCGGCAGCCTCGATGCCCATGATGCTGGAGGTCGCGCCGATGTCCAGAATACCGAAGCCCTTGGAGGAGCTCTGCTTCACACTCATGAGGATCCAGTCGTCTAGCTTCTCCAGGGTTGGCCAGCTCGGTAGCTTCACATGATGGACTTGCTCCCGCCTCTCGATGGATTTCTCCACCTCTAGGTACATCGTCTTCTCGAGCTGTTTCTTTGGAAGCTTCGGTCGATTCTTGATCACTGGCTTATTGTTGAGCGTCGTCTCCAGCTCCAGGCGCGAGGTCTCGTTCCTGATGAGATTCGCCTCCATCTCGGCGTCCTGCTCGGCGCCGAAGAACACGTAGGCTCCGAAACCTCGCTTGGGTCGTTCACGATCTTTGCTGCTGGTGGAGGAAGCGCGGTCTTTATGATCCTTAGTCTCGTGATTGCCGCCGCACTTCAGACAGGGTCCCTTACGGGGCGGCCGGCCCTGGGAGCGATCTCCATCACGTCGGGGTGGTACATCGCGTCGTTGTCCGCTCCCTCGGCCTCGTCCTTTCGATGATCCAGAGCCTCGGGATCCAGCTCGAGGTCCCTGGAACTTGCGCTGTCCTCCGCGTCCTTCTCGCTTCTTGTTCTCATCCACGGGGTAGAACTTCCTGGCGGTCTTCACTCGTCGGAGTAGATCCCGAGCTTCTTCGAAACTGCGCTGCTGGGCGGCGAACGCGGTCTCGGCCTCCTCGATCTCCTGGGCGCTGTAGAGCGGCTCCTCGGGATCTCCTTCGTCCTCGTCGCCGTCCGCGTCCTCATAGGTGGCCTCCGACTGGTCGCCATCGTAGTAGCTGTAGTCGTCGTCGTCCTCGCTGTTCTCCTCCCAGCCGGCATGGATCCGACCTCGCTCTCGATGGCGATGGTTGTCCTTGCCGTGCTTCTTATCTCTGTTCGTCAGCTCGTCATCTGGCCAAGATACTCTTAGCTGCTCGCCGATGCTGTCGTAGTCGAAGTTGCCTTTGACTGCGCTGATAACTGCCGCACGCTCCGTCGGGGAAAGTCTTGATCTCTGCAGCAGTAGCCATCCGCGCAGCTGGTCAAGGGGAATCGCCTGTTTGAAGTCGGTTCCGAAATCCGGATGCTCGGGGATCTCCTCAAGACCTGTCCGGATGAAGTTCCAGAGCTGGTGGTTCAACTCCTTGGCCTTGTCGGCGGCGTCCTCCGGGCCCTCCTGCTCGATCTTGTACAAGAACCAGTTGAGCTCCGAGTAGAGGGTGTTCCATTCCTTTGACCTTGCCGACAGCCGAGCCGTGCGCTGCTTCTTGAAATACTCGGTGTCGAAACCCTTGACCACGTCGTGGTAGGCCTCATCGTCTCTGCTTATGTAGCTCGGCATTGGCTCTCCAGTGTCTCGGCGAAGATCGAAGATCCATCTGGCCAGATATTTGCCTGCATCCTGGATGGGCTGAGCACCGAGCTTGGCACGAATGTGTCGCAGTAGCTCAGCTGCACCGTCGTCTCTCTCAATGCGGTCCCAGTCCACATCCTTGGCTGCTTGTCGTGCTCGACCTTCCAGTCGTCTCCACAAACGAGGGCCGCATACATATCGTTCATCTCGACGGGTGCCTCGGATGTAAGCTTTGACGTCTCTCTCGTAATCGTCCACCGTGGTGAGATCTCCGTTCCACTTCGGTATGATGTCATCGTTGTTATTGTTATTCCTCGTCATGACTCAAACGATGAACTTCTCTCCGTGAATCTGTTGTCCGTGGAGCTTGATAGCTCCGCTACCATGCAATGGTCCCGCTTCGAACCACTGCCCTGATCGCAATCCTTGATGATGCTACTCTCTTCTCTGCTCTGACACGTGCCGAGGGTACCGTTGGCGGTCGGGTCGAATCTGAGGGCAGTGACTGTGCGATGCTGATCGCACTGTGGTGATGAACAGGATCTGTTTGTCAGCGGGCAGTTCGCTGTCCTGCGTCTCTCGGACGCACACCAGAAGTCCAGCGTCGCTGAGACGCTGCAAAGGCTTGAGCCAGAACGGTTTCGGATGAACCTGTTCTGGGATATTATAATGGGGATCTCGAAGGATCTCGGAGGGCCTACTAAGCAAGGCTGGCTGCAGTCTGGAGGCTAAAGGGGGCCCGATTCGCCGGGAAACGCTTGGCTAACATACATGGGGCTCCTTTGGAGCCTGAAGCTTATATCACGCACGGCCTCTAGAGGCCATCTGTCGTAAGTAGGCTCTAGTGAGGCAGGCTCGGGGCTGTGAATTGCACAGGGTGGGCCAGATTCGTTAGGTGGTATGTCTGTGTGTGTGTGTGCGCGCGCGCGAGCGCGCGCGTGTTTTCCGGAGTCCCCGGCCTTGTAAAACTAGCCTGACAAAGGACCCAACCCTATGCTGCTGCGAGTACCGCGAGGGAGAGTAGACGAGGGAGGGGGGGGGGCAGCAAAAAGGATTGCGGCGTGCATGAGGGGGAGAAAAGCTGACGCGGGCGAGTGGGGAGTCTTCTTGGTTTCGCCCGAGCCCCGTGCGCGGCCCGTGCCATGCGGACGCTCCCGCTGGGGCCTTCGGTGGAGCTCCCTCTGGGGCCACGAACCGTGTGAGGGGTGCGCCGTTCCCGCTGGAGCCTTCGGTGGAGCTCCCTATGGGCCACGAACCGTGTGAGGGGTGTGCCAAAATGGGGCGGCGGTGCCATGCGGACGTTCCCGCTGGGGCCTTCGGTGGAGCTCCCTATGGGGCCACGAGCCGTGTGAGGGGTGCCGGCCACTGCGGCGCTTAGGCCGTTGCGGGTTTCTGTTGATTGTCGTTCTGGGGAGTTTTTGCCAGCGGGGCGTGGGGGCACCGCGTTTTCCTCCCAGCGCCGTTTTCACGGGCACCTTCTTCACGGGTGTGCCGCTGGGGCTGCTACTGATCATTTTTTTCAACGCTGCCGCTTGATGCGGTAAACTAACACGCGGCACCGCATATGTTTCCATATGTTGAGTAGCCATTTCTTTTAGTGGGTCTACTCCAGAGCTAGGGTGTCCCACCAACCAGTGTGTGGGGCAGCGGTGACGCATGCAACCGTTGCCACTTTGGCCTTCGGTGGAGCTCCCTGTAGTGCCACGAACCGTATGATGGGCGCGGCGCTGACGATGGCGATAGTGATGATCATGATGCTGTGGATCATGACGATGGCGATGATGATGACGATGATGACGATGACGATGACGATGACGATGACGAGGCGGATGGGAGGAGGGAGGAGGGGGAGGAGGGATGGGGCAGCGGGAAGGAAGGAAGGAACGCGGGGCGCTGTCTTTTCAAAACGAGGACCCAACACCACAGGATGGTTGGGACACATATGAATAGGAATATAGAAGACGCCTACGGCGAATCACCGCCGCCCCCTACCTTTCGGAATCACCGATGTAGCTGAGCTTTGTGGCAAGAGCTCTGCCAAGCTATCGGACCATGTGCTCCCCCAGCCGTTGTGGAAACACTTCGGGGAATCACTTGGGGGAGGATGGCGGGGAAGATCAGGAGGGGGAGGAGGAGGAGGAGGAGGAGGAGGAGGAGGAGGAGGAGGAGGAGGAGGAGGAGGAGGAGGAGGAGGAGGAGGAGGAGGAGGTGTGGTGGAGGAGGAGGAGGAGGAGGAGGAGGAGGAGGAGGAGGAGGAGGAGGAGGAGGAGGAGGAGGAGGAGGAGGGGGCATCTTGGGAGCCTCTGGGGGCACACTTGGGGCCTCCTGGGACTTCCTGGTAGCCTCTTGGAGGCATCTTGGGGGCCTCCTTGTTCCTCTTGGGGGCCTTTGGGGGTTTTCGGGCCTTCCTGGAGGCTGTCTTGGAGGGCTCTTGTGCCGTCTTGGAGGCCTCGTGCGGGCCTTTCGGACAGCCTAAGGCCATCTTGAGGCCATCCGGGGCCGTCTTGGGTGCATCTTGGGGTTATCTTCGCTGTCTTGGAAGCCTTCTTGGCCGTCTTGGAGGCATCTTGGAGGCCATCTTCGGCGTCATCGGGGCCATCTTGGGCCGACTTGGGCTCTTCTTGGGGCCCTCTTGGGGGCCTCTTGGGCTGTCATGGCGTCATCTTGGAGGCCTCTTGGGCGCTCTTGGGACGATGTTGAGGGCCTCTTGGGCCGTCTTGGGCCGTCGGAGAACTGATAAGAAGAAAATGCCCAAATCCTTCAAACACCGAAGGGAAATCAATGATTGTTGCCATTTCGGGCCTTCCTAGAGGACGTCTTTGAGGCCTCTTGGGGGCCTCTTGGCCAGTCGTAGGCCATCTTGGAGCCATCTTGGGCCGTCTTGGAGGCTTCTTGGACGAACTTGAAGGCATCTTGGACTCTCTCGGGCCGTCTTGGAAGCCATCATGGACCATCTTTGGCGACTTGGACGCCATAGTGGGCCATCTTGGAGGCCATCTCGGGCCAACGTGACCGTCTTAGAGACCATCTTGAGCCATCTTGGAGAATGTTTTGAGGTGGTTGCGGGGCCTTTTCAGGACCCCGGCGGCATCGGCCGAAGCCCCAGGGGGAGTTCTTTTGGAAAAGAGCCAATACCAACATCGAAAGGATCTAGCACGCTGGGTACCCCTGTGGCAAGCCAACAGGGGGCGGCGGATCTAGTGGCCGTCGGCCCATCCCGCCACCGAGCTCTTGGATGTTCGTCTGGATATAGTGGGAGGCCTCTTGGGGGCCTCTTGAAGGTAGTTCTGAAGCGTCTTTGTGGCCGTTTGGGGCCTCTTGGGGCCTCTTTTTGGGCCTCTTGGGGGCCTCGTGGTGCCTCTAGGGGGCCTCTTGGGCTTTCTTGGGGGCTTCTTGCGGCCTCCTGGGGGCCTCTTGGGCGGAAGGCTCGAATTGTCGATCCGTGTTCCCCCTCTTGGGCCCCTCTTGGGGCCGTCTTGGGGCCCTCTAGGGCGATATTGGGCGCCTCTTGAGCCGTTTGGGGTCCTCTCTTGGACCGCCTTGGGGCCCTTTTGGGTACCTCTTGGGCCGTCTTGGGGCGGTCTTGGGGGCCTCTGGGGCCATCTCGGAGCGTCGGAAGCCTGAAAACGCAAGAACGCGAAAAACATGGAATACCACAGGGAACATCAATGATGATTGCCCCTCTGTGCCCTCTTGGGGGTCCTCTTGGAGCGCTCTTGGGGTCTCTTTGGGGCCTCTTGGACCGTCTTGGAGCCATCTTGGGCGTCTTGCAGCGTTCTCTGGCTATCTTGAAGGCCTCTTGGACCCTCTTGGGCTCTTTCTGGGGCCTCCTTGGCCCGTCTTGCGGCCCAAAATCACGCGAGGCAGCCCATGCGCGTGCGGGAGCGCCGAGGAAATTTGAGAATCTGGGGGCCCAGCACCTAAAATACTAGAATCCCTCAGTCCTGAGAGCAGAGAACAGGGAACACATGAGAACCTTGGGTTAACTCCACTTCTTGACTCGAGGCACGGTTGCGGATGCACACACACATATATATATATATATATATATATATATATATATAGGTTGCCCCCCCTCCCAGGATCATACATCTCGTCTTGAACCGCATTCATCCTCATCTCCCTCCTATTCATCTTTACCACGCTTATCTTCATTATGTCTGCGCATCGGTTCCAGGGTCTCCTTCCATCGTGCCTTGATGCGGCAGAAGGGGGCATCCATTTATGGATGCCCCTTCGACGATGTGCTCCTTCGACGATGTGGCCGACACGGAACGGCTCCCTGGCCAGTGGCGGGAGGGGAAACCTGAAAAGGTTTCCTGGCCCGTTTGTTGTGCTGGAGAGGGAACCTGAAAAAGGCTCCTTGGCCAGTGGCGGGAGGGGAAACCTGAAAAGGTTTCCTGGCCCGTCTGTTGTGCTGGAGAGGGAACCTGAAAAAAAGGCTCCCTGGCCAGAGGCGGGAGGGGAAACCTGAAAAGGCTTCCTTGCCCGCTTGATGTGCTGGGAAGGGAACCTGAAAAAGGCTCCCTGGCCAGTGGCGGGAGGCCTCACAAAAGGAATCCGATGGAAAACATCACAAAGGAATTCTATGGGAAAGCCTCACAACAGGAATCCTTTGGAAAGCACCACGTAGGTATTCTATTGGAAAGCCGCACAAAAGGAATCCTTTGGAAAGCACCACATAGGGATTCTATTGGAAAGCCGCACAAAAGGAATCCTTTGGAAAGCACCACAAAGGAATTCTATTGGAAAGCCTCACAGAAGGAATCCTTTGGAAAGCGCAACGAAGGGATTCTATTGGAAAGCCTCACAGCAGGAACCGTTTGGAAAGCAGCACACAGGGATTTTATTGGAACGCCCCACAACAGGAATCATTAGGATAGACCACAAAGGGATTCGATTAGAAAACCTCGCAAAAGAATCTTCCAGATATTCCAGATCTTCACAGAAACTACCCTGGTGAAAAACGTTGTGTTCTCCAGATTTTCGAGGTATTCCAGATCCTCCCAGAGATTGCCCTGGTGAAAAACGTTGTGTTCTCCAGATTTTCGAGATATTCCAGATCCTCCCAGATATTGCCCTGGTGAAAATGGTTTTGTTTTCCAGATTTTCCAAATATTCCAGATCCTCCCAGAGACTGCCCAAGTGAAAAACGCTGTGT